ATGTCTGTGGCCACATAATCATCGGTGAAAAGGGCTAATTTAGTGAACTTAGCCACATACTCCATCACCGTCATCGTGCCTTGTCTCAAGTCTTAGAACTCCCGGGGCCTTTGCATGTCGAACGACTGCCGAAAAATACTTGCCCATAAAGAGTTCCTTGAACTCTCCCTATGTCTTTGCCTCAAAGTTCTTGGAGTCCTTTACCCAATCCCACCACTGTTGAGATTCTCCCTCTACTGGAATGTAGTTAGCGTTATCTTAGTGGCATCAGAGGTGATCTCCATAGCCCTTAAGATCTTGTCAACTTGTTGGAACCAATGGTCAGCCACCATCGGATTCGGGCCTCCCTAGAAATTCAGAGGTTGATGTGCCTTAAACTTCTGGAGGTTACTTGAGCCTCCTTGACCACATTTGCACCAGTCTGTGCAATAGTAGTGACTTAACACTAGCTTGTACAATAGTGGCAGCCGTCGTACCAATAGTCTCTGCCGAAAACTTGATGGTCAAAGGCCGGTGGTGGTTGGCTATTGTTCCGTCCACCTTGTCGCCCCCTTCCTCTAGTTGTCATCTACACACACATAAGATAGCAATAGACTGNACTAGCTTGTACAATAGTGGCAGCCGTCGTACCAATAGTCTCTGCCGAAAACTTGATGGTCAAAGGCCGGTGGTGGTTGGCTATTGTTCCGTCCACCTTGTCGCCCCCTTCCTCTAGTTGTCATCTACACACACATAAGATAACAATAGACTGACAACTTAGTATCCCAAAGTTAGGGATCAAGTTTACACCTTGAACCATCCCGTTCATCCCTTATTCCGAACCCCAAGGTTTTTGTTTTCTAACCCTAGTGTTCATTCTCTCCCTATACATTTTACCATGTATATTTTTCACTCAACACAANACCATCCCGTTCATCCCTTATTCCGAACCCCAAGGTTTTTGTTTTCTAACCCTAGTGTTCATTCTCTCCCTATACATTTTACCATGTATATTTTTCACTCAACACAACACATAACATGTAGCAATTTAAGCACATAACATGAAATGCACATTGAATGCAATGGTTTAAACCCATGCCCAAAAGCCCTAGGTAAATCGTATACCTATGCTATGATACCAGGCTGTGACGCCCCTAAAATCAGGGGTCCTTTTTCAACCAANTTTTTCACTCAACACAACACATAACATGTAGCAATTTAAGCACATAACATGAAATGCACAATGAATGCAATGGTCTAAACCCATGCCCAAAAGCCCTAGGTAAATCGTATACCTATGCTATGATACCAGGCTGTGACCCCCTAAAATCAGGGGTCCTTTTTCAACCATTGACCACTCGTCAACCTGCGGAAGTACCGGTGATTGTCGCACAACCCGACACCACGTTAATAACATCCCCTTAACCGGGATTATCATCCACAAGTGTAACCCTTGTATATTTTACCCTTTTACCCAATCGAGGTCCAATATACCTCAATTATAATCCATTTATATCATTTGAATGCAAAGACACTTAGCCCAAAAGCCTAGCCAAGCATTCTTAAAATTTTAGATTTTTGGAAAATCTACCTGTAGGTTTTAATGGACCTACCGGTAGGTTTTGTCCTCCGAAAAAGTTCTACCGGTAACCTACTGGAAAAGTTCTACCAGCATCCTACCGGTGGATTTGACCTACTGGAAAAGTTCTATCGGTAAACTACCAGTAGGTTTTGTCTGTGCCAACACCTATCTGCACAAGATCTACTAGTAGGTTTTTATGGACCTATAGGTAGGTTTTGCCCAGAAATGCATGCTTCACTAGTTTTTCATTTTCAATCATGTCAAAACCATTCCAACACCATCCAAAACATGCTTAACAAGGTTTTTCACAAAAAACCTAATATATACAAGGTCTATTACAATTAATTCCATATGATTAGAAGCCCAAAATATACTTTTCACCAAATTTATACAATGGTTTTACAAAAATGGATTCAAGGCCATAAGTCGGCCTTTTCTTCATCTTGGAGGTTCCGAATGAAAGTCCCCCGCCGGTACAAACCCCGCACCAGAAATGTGTTCCTGTATAAGGTGAGTCACGCTCAATAGGGTAACTCCTAAAGAGGCTACTCCCCAACTTAGATGTATATGAAATGTCACATGCAACATTCAACAAAACAACAACCATCCCAAACAAGAATATGTAATTCTATGTTGGNAATGACCACTCGTCAACCTGCGGAAGTACCGGTGATTGTCGCACAACCCGACACCACGTTAATAACATCCCCTTAACCGGGATTATCATCCACAAGTGTAACCCTTGTATATTTTACCCTTTTACCCAATCGAGGTCCAATATACCTCAATTATAATCCATTTATATCATTTGAATGCAAAGACACTTAGCCCAAAAGCCTAGCCAAGCATTCTTAAAATTTTAGATTTTTGAAAAATCTACCTGTAGGTTTTAATGGACCTACCGGTAGGTTTTGTCCTCCGAAAAAGTTCTACCANAGGTCCAATATACCTCAATTATAATCCATTTATATCATTTGAATGCAAAGACACTTAGCCCAAAAGCCTAGCCAAGCATTCTTAAAATTTTAGATTTTTGGAAAATCTACCTGTAGGTTTTAATGGACCTACCGGTAGGTTTTGTCCTCCGAAAAAGTTCTACCGGTAACCTACTGGAAAAGTTCTACCAGCATCCTACCGGTGGATTTGACCTACTGGAAAAGTTCTATCGGTAAACTACCAGTAGGTTTTGTCTGTGCCAACACCTATCTGCACAAGATCTACTAGTAGGTTTTTATGGACCTATAGGTAGGTTTTGCCCAGAAATGCATGCTTCACTAGTTTTTCATTTTCAATCATGTCAAAACCATTCCAACACCATCCAAAACATGCTTAACAAGGTTTTTCACAAAAAACCTAATATATACAAGGTCTATTACAATTAATTCCATATGATTAGAAGCCCAAAATATACTTTTCACCAAATTTATACAATGGTTTTACAAAAATGGATTCAAGGCCATAAGTCGGCCTTTTCTTCATCTTGGAGGTTCCGAATGAAAGTCCCCCGCCGGTACAAACCCCGCACCTGAAATGTGTTCCTGTATAAGGTGAGTCACACTCAATAGGGTAACTCCTAAAGAGGCTACTCCCCAACTTGAGATTAGACTCGCTAATTCTATGTTGAAATTCTACCATGTCATGCCATGAAATGAGATTAGACTCGCTGATTAACCCTAATTAAGGCATAATTTAATAGGTAAATTGTGTTAGTTGAATAAAGTTAAACTAGTCAAAATAAATTAAATTAGAATTAGTGTGTGAATAAAGGATAATGCATTAATCGTTGTTCTTTTCAGGATTTTGTGCGTCAAAGCTATAAACTACTAGGGAGCCAATTGCATTAAAGCTACAAACTACTGGGGTGCCAATTATTAAAGCTCAAAACAAAGGAGGATCAAAGAATTCAAGGCCACCTAGCAAGATTTTCAAGTCCACCTAACAAGATTCAAAGTCACCTAACAAAATTTTCAAGTCCACCTAACAAGATTCAAAG